CCTTGGGGAGGACGATGGTCAGCAGGGGATGAGGGAAGTGGGCTCACTGGTCGGAGTCCCTTTCTCTTCCTGGAACTAGCCGATCGTCTAGATTTGGACTCAGTCCTGGCTTCAAGAGCTGCGTGTTCCCATTAGCCAGAGTGATGGGATGGTTCATATGAAAGGCACGAACTAGTAACCAGCTTTGGTACAACTAGGTCAGGCCTGGCCTAGAGTGCCTAAAGCCGGTTAGGCATATTGGATAATATTTCTGCTCAAAATCATTAACTGTAAACGTGGCTGCTTGGCCTCGAGCCCACAGCTCTGCAGCCAGGCCTTGATCTGGCTCAAGAATCCCTAGGAAACTTGTTTGTGACTTTAGAGCCTGGCTTTCCTTGCAGGGCTTTCTGTGGAGACAACTAGTCAACAGGGCAGAGTGAGTCAGGGCTGCTAACTAGCCTCTTCCTGCATGAACTGGTTAACTGGCTCTCCTGGCTTCCTGCTTGGTTCTGAACTCCAGTGCCCGGGCCTGCTTTTCTGTTTACCCACAATAGCAAGGGACTTCTTTTGTTTGCTTTTAGTCTGAAGGAAGGGCTTGTTTTGATGTTTGGATCACAAATAATAATCTATTGTTCCCTATAATAATAATCCACCCTCTTTTAGCAGAAAAAAATCTGCTTGATGTAGTGTGGCTATCAGTTTATTTAAAAGAATAGCCAAAGTGCCCACTGTGTCCTGAGAATAAATATTTGGAAGATGGTTGGGAGGAATGGGGGAGTGCCCTCTTCTCTCTGGCCAGAATCATCCTTAATGCCTCAGTAAGGCTCTGAAACTGACCATCAGTCCTGGTGACAGTATCGATCCTTTTCTGCCTGTTATGTTTTAAGAATCATCAGAACAATGCACATATTCACTACCAACAGCTTGTTTTAAAATATCTTATTTTGAAGGGCTGGGTGAGTTTAAGCCAAGAATTTTAAAGAGCCTCAAGGAGCAGCCGAGCTCAGTGTGCCAGCGTGTGTTTTGCCCACTGAAGCTTTTCCATTAGCTGAGCCCAGGACATGGCAGCGAAAACATCCATCACTGGCTGCATGAACACAGCTCTGTTCTCAGGATCTGAAATCAGAGGCCACTGCAGGAACTATTATGGATTGCTGCTAAAATGGGAATCTTCACTCAAAAAAACAGACTCAAACTAAGTGAAGGTTAGAAACAAACGTATATGGCCCTAAAATTCTTAGCTTAAAACATATAGTCCAATGCTTTAAATGTAGGTGAAGAAAGTTCTGGGGGTCACAGTGCAAATCTGAGAGCTGCTTAGAGGAGTAGGATGTGCCTCACTTTGCCGCAGACAGGCCACGGGGGCAGCTGCCGGCTCTCAGTGGGTGAAGGAGAATTCTGGAACTCCATGCGCCAGGGACACCATGCCACAGAGGCCATGTGGGAGCTGAAGTGAACTTTGCCAGCTGAGAGGGGCCGTCTGAAAAGTCTACACACTGGTTCCAGCTGTAGAGCATCTGGCAAAGGTAGAAACAGGCCGAGAAAGGTCACCAGGGACTTGGGGGCAGTGAACCAGGGCCCAGCTGTAGAGATACTGTGTGTGGCACTGTGACAGTGGACACATGTCATCGTACCCAAAGAGTACACACAGAGTGGCACTCACATGAGCTGTGGGCTTTAGTCAGCAATGCTGTGATGGGCTTGCTGACCAGCTGAGAACAACGTGACTAACGGGAGCCAGTGGGGACATTTGTGAGAATTCTCCACTTCCTATTTAATCTGTAAACCTACAACTGCTTTTAAAACGTCTGTTGGTTCTGAAAACATAAATATTAGGTTTAGTAAAACTGATAAAACTTACACAGAGATGAAAAATTGTGCTCTATATGTGTAATAGGAATTGTAAAGCATTCTGCTGTCAAAAAATTTAAAAAAGAGAGTACCAAAAAAAAAAAAAAAACCTTTGAAAACTTAAGACCATCAGCAGTTACTCTGTAGGAAATCTTTAGAATATCCTGCCAGAAACGTATAGTTCTGTTTTGCTTTTTTTTTTTAATCTTCTTATTTTTTTGGTGGAATATTTGTTTTGAAATGGCGGTCAAACCCAGGGTTTTGTGAATGCAAGGAAGACGCTTTGCCACTGAGCTACATTCCAGCCCCTGTTTTACTTTATTAGTTTTAGTTTTGGGACAGGTTCCATGGGTGTGTGGAGCTTGCTTGCCCTGCCCTGGCCTCCTGAGTCGCTGGGCGTAGGGGCGCGCACCACCCTGCTCTGCAGTGTGGTGTGACAGCAGTGAGTTCCTGTGTCTGTCTACCTCCTTGTGTCTTCTGTGTCACCTGGTGAGTGTAGGCGTGATAGTCACACTAAGCCTCACTCCTGTGCTTTCCTTCTCTCCAGGGACAGCTGGTGTGTCAGCCTTGGAGGCATATACACCCAAAGAAATCTTTGCGGCAAACGGGACACAAGGGAAGCTGCCGTGTGCAAGTTCAAGTCCACTAACGTGACTGGTGGGTTGACGTTCGTCTCCTGGAGCTACCAGCCCGAAGGGGCTGACACCACAGTGTCGGTAGGAGTGCCCTCTGCCCCACAAGGCCTGCCGCAGGCTTCTGTCCTACTGTCCTGTGAGGACAGTCCATTCTTCGACTGCCCTTTTCCAGAATGAGTGTGGTCCTGGTTTGCTGTAGGCTGCAGGCTGTACTCCAGGAGAACATGAGCAGCGTCTGTCCTGCTCCTGGTGCCCACTTCCCACGCTCCTCCACGGTCAAGCCCTGTTGTGAAGTCCTCTTCCCTGCAGGGTGGCCTGAGCTGACTGTGTTCCCTGGTTGTGGTGTGCCTGAAAAACACTTGCCCGGTTTCCATTTCGGCTGTTTTAGGCATTCGCCTTGCTCCCTTCCCACCTCCTCCTGAGCCCACAGGCTGACTGTGGGACAGGCATGTAGGATCATCAGGAAAGGTCCCAGCACGGCTTTCCTCTCACCTTTGGACGCCTGGAGAGGCAGCTGAGGGTGGAACAGGCAGGGCCTGTGTGGGGGGTTAGTTAGAAACTGGGCGGGTGCAGGGTGGGTGCTTATTAGACCTGGGCTAGTGGTCTGTAAAGTGGAGGTGATGCCCCAACGTGGGGCGCTGGAGGAGGAAGGTCATCAGGAGGACCTGGGGAGTGGGCCCTCAAGGCACCACCCCCATGCACCTTGTTGTGTTGCTGTTGTCCTGTCACACATCCTTGGAACTTCGCCCCTACTTCAGCAGTGCTACACATTTTAGGTTGTGAGCACTTTGCAGGGACAGAGTCCAAGTAAGAACACCCACAGAAGTACCGTGGTTTGAACATCGCAAAGTCCACGTGCTGGGAATGTGACCCGTGTTCCTGCGTCAATGGAGTGAGAGGAGCTTGGGTTCCATCACAAGGTGGAGCTCTCCATGGCCCTAGGGCTCCAGAGAAGAGGAAGAGGGAAGATCTGGCACTGGTCTATCTCACCAGGCAGTGCCCCCAGCCATGCCCTGATGTAGCAAGAAGTGCCCACACCTCCCCCTGGAGCTCCGATGGAAAGGCCGGCAGCAGTGACTGCCTGCTGGCTGTTGGGGTTGCCGAAGTCCGTGATCTCGGGACTTAACTTCTGGTGTTGAAAATATGCCCTCTGCCATTGCTGAAAGGACAGAGGATTGCCAGTCACTTGTCTATAGATCATGAGCTGCTCAGGGTCTCCTTTGGGGAAACTTCAAGTACATACAAGATAATCCTAGCGAGTGGAAGAAAAACACCATTCTGTCTGGCCAATTGGCTTAATTTTTGCATGTGGTATTGCCAAAGCCATGACCTCTGTCCCCCAGGTGAAAGCTGTTGCCCTGCACTGGAACCTAAACCTGGTTTGCAGATTCCAGGACTTAGAAAAGGAGGACCTCTGAGTGGCCTGTGTGGGAGGCGGGGAAGGATGAGGTAGAGTCAGGGTGTCAAATTCATTCAGCTTCCTCACAGGGCCATGTGGGTGTGCTTTTGGGTGGGACAGAGTGCAGAAGGCATGGCCTAGTGGTGTCTGCAAGGAGCCTCCCCTCAGGTAGCTATAAGGGTGAGAGAAGACTCCATGTAGAGGTCTCAATGACCAGGGATGGAGTCATTCAGTTGCTCTAGACAGGGAGAGGGGTGCAGCCATCAGTGTCGCAGGAGGACAGACTCCATGCATGTGTTCTCTCAACAGACTGCAGCAAACTTGTGAGGCCTTCCCTTTGCTATTCTCTGAACAGGGGGCTGTTCAGTCCACAGACAATAAAGCAGTCCAGCCACATTGCTATCCTGCCACTCAGGAGCTGCACAGGAGGATCATGAGTTCAAGGCCAGCTGCGACAGTTTGGAGAGACCTATCTCAAAATAAAATAAAAAGGGCTGGGCATGCAGCGTAGTGGTTGAATGCTCCTGAGTTCAACACACAGTGCTACAAAAGAGAGGAGAGGGGGACAGAGGAGGAGAAAGGGGAAGGAACCACCGTGCAGTACCCCAGTGCTGGAATTATCCCTGTTGTGTGGGTTGAAGAAGACCTGCA